GAGAGCAGCAGCTAGCCTTGGTCTGGTGGAGTTTATAAAGGCAAAAACCACATTCCATTGGTACACGGGTTTGTCCAGTTGCACAAAGCAAGCTTGGTAGCTAGGTCACAGAAGCCAACGTGTGCAGTTAAAGCAATCAAGCATAAACATTTTCATTGTGTATGATTCTGGTTTCTATGTAATGGTTCACTGTGTATGGTTCCTGATTCTATGCAATGGTATTTGTTTCTATGAGGTCAATGGTTTCTCACACAGAGGGGGTAGTCTGACAATGAGACCTAAGATGGCATTGGGAGTGTTCAGGGTTCTCTGCTACACCATTGGCCCCATTGTACTCACCAGCCCTGTGTCAACCTGTTTCCTCCTGGGCTGTGTGCTGTGCAGACATGTGGTCTGCCTGACATGGAGCAGGCCACGTGTGGACGTCTCCCTGCAGGGTCCTGACTCCTCCCACCTGGCTGCTGAGCACTCTTTACAGAGCTCAGCGCAGGAGATGGGTAAGGACCTGGTGTTGGGGACATATACTCCCTCTGGCCTGCGAGATGGGGGATTGCAGGCACCATGTTGTGACAGCCCAGGCCCTGAGATGGCAGATAGCCAGGGGCCAGAGGCTGCCCTTCCAAGGCCTTCCTGCTGACAGTCCAGCACTCCCACTCCCACAGGAATCCAGGCCGTCCCACCCAGCACCCAGCCCCAGCCTGGCTGGGGCACTGCCACTTTTCCTGTACTTGTGGGACTCTCAGTGTCTTTGCACTCTCACCTGACATTAGGTCATGGACATCCTTGCATTTGCTACCGTTTTTCTTACTCCCACCTGCAGGGGACCCTGGCAGCTGTGGGCCTGACTCTTTCCACATCTCACCACACACAGGGTTTTGGACACAGAAAGGGCAGGGGCTCATCCATGTGTCTTTGTGACTTACTATGTCATGGAATACATCACCTAGACTGGATCCTGACACTACCGCATCCATCGTATTCCAGGAGTGAGACTGGTTACCATGGCGATGGATGGGTGGGATTCTATTCCTGAAAGCCTTACTTGTATCCTAGTATCCTGATCCCCATACCTGGAAGACTCCCAAGATAGGAGGGTTGGGCTGAGGGTATCACATTTAACTTTTTTTCTTTTTTTGGTGGCTGTCCAGTACAAGGATCCAACCCTTTGACCTTGGTGTTATCAGCACCAGCTCTAACCAAGCTAATCAGGCAGCCCATATTTAACATCTGAAACTGCTGTCTAGTCTCCACAGGGGCTGCTTCCCTGCACCCCACCTGGCCCTCGGGGATACCCTTCTCTTTAATGTTTGCCGATCTGGTGTCAGGCTGGCAAATGAAATTTCACTGTTTCTCTGATTTGGAGTCACCCCACTGGCCAGCCGGACCCCTTCAGTTGCTGACCAGCCAATGGGTGTGCTCGCCTGACTCTGCTGCTCAGATCCTTGGCCCTGTGGGCTTTTCTCCCACCTGGAACCTCCAGGCATTTATCTGCTTCTTTGCTGCACCTGTGACCGCCTTAGCCTGAGGTTGTCAATACAACCTTTAAAGGGAAGATATGCGTCTGACTTTTGAGACCAAAAGGGCTCTCATCGGGTCTGTCTGTAAACTGTGACCAAGCTGGGCATGAAAGAAGGTCCCCAGGCCCCTCCCCAGGACAGGAACAGCGGGAAGACCATGCAGGTCTAGTGTTGGAAGCTTCTGGGTCTGGCTTGAGCTGCCCCTTCACACCATGAAGCTGTGTCCATCTCTCCCCCACGGGGATGTTCTGTGAGGACTTCCTGGGATGACGCTCTTAGACAGGGAAGTGCTATCATCACTCAGCCAACAAATGACTTGAAAGTACAAGTATCTTAAATTATTCTTCCACCTTAAATTCTTTTTTTTTTTTTTTTTTAAAGGATGACCGGGAAGAGGATCTCAACCCTTGGCTTGGTGTTGTCAGCACCACGCTCAGCCAGTGAGCAAACCGGCCATCCCTATATGGGATC